TTAATCCGTTTTTTAATCCTGATATATATTTTAATTTGATGATCAAAACATATAATAAAAAAATATTTATATTCATACATTCATTTATATTCTCATAACTTAATGAATTTAATCGTTTTTTCGTTCTTTCAGAAAAAAAATTGTCTTGAAATTGACTTTTCCTTCATCGTTATAATTTTTAATCATCAAATCATTCTTTATAGCATTTAAAAATTCAGCATATAATAGTAATAGTAGTAGATAAACAGCATGAAATAGTAAAATAAAATTTAATATTTTTCAAAACATCCGACTGTTTTAAAATTGTGACATTGTCGCTGACAAAAATCCGCTGTGAAAAACTGCACTGCGGAGACTGCACCATGCCTACCATTCACGCACATCTATCTACTTTGCATACTAGAACCCGGATTACCTTGTGTCTATCTAAGCTCAATTAAAGGTCTTCCGGCGCGCGCCGTTCCGTCAAAGAGAACGCGCACCTCGTTACGGTTTGACGGTTACGCACGGATACGCACGTTGCCCTCGTATGAGTGAGGGGGAAGGGGGAGGGGGCACGTATAGGGAGACAAGCGCCCCGTGCAAACTGCCCCCATGGAAACGACAAAGGCAGAAAGGGGAGGAGGAGCCGCTGCATTTTTCACACGACTTGGCTTATGCGGCTTTTGGGGCGGAGAGAGGGAAGAACGCGAAGAGATCGGGTCGCGCGAGTGACGAGGAAGTCGGAAGTCGGACCCCGAGTCAGTCGATTGTGGAGCATTAGTGAGCTTAGATCGATCATCGTAATTTATGTGCACGTGTGTACGCGTATATAATTTCGCAAAACGCAAGGAAATCCAATTGGGAATCGGAATCACGATATTTCACTACGATGGTTTCGTAATAGATAAGAGATCAAGAAATTGAATTTTCAAAAAGAAAGATCTCACCCGGTAGAACGAATAAAAAATCGAATAGAGAGAGAGAGAGAGCTATCACTTCAACGGAATTTAGGCGAGGTTTACTGTGCGATCTCGTCTCCCGGAGTATCGGAATTTCTATCAAAGAAGAAGAGTAAGTGTCGCGTGCAGGACTCACCATTAAGCATCAGCCCTATGGGGGTTGCGACGAACACCATACGGTCGTTCTCCAAACAGCCACGCGACCGCTGGTCGTGGAAGGGTCGTTGCGCTCTGCTGGATCGTGAAAATACCCCGTTGGAGTAAAACGCAGAACACCCTAGCGCATCCCGGCCACCTCGAAGTTCTACGGACATTTATCGGATTTCCTCGCTCGTTTACGACGTGTTTCTGTAAATAACAAAAAAACCAAGTATTCAAAAACGTGAAAAATTTCAAAAAATTTCATTTTTATTTATCTTTTTCTTCAGTTGGTACTTTGGTACTTTGACAAGTATTTTGCAAGCTTAGTTTAATAGTAATAAAGTGGAAAAAACATGAGTGCGTTCAAGAGATATCAAAGTAAGGTTTTTTGGGATCAAATGGCTTCGCGTGATCTGGAAGATGATCACTCTGCAAAAAGATACGATCCCCCGCGTTATTCTTTTAATGAACGTATTCGTGAAAAGGAGGAAGAAGAAGAAGAAAATTTAACTAAATCAGAAAACGATACAGTCGATAATGCAAATATTACCGCGATACACGTTTGTAATAAAAGCGACGGGAATATAAAACAAAATATATGTCAGATTTCATTGATACACGACAAAAGTGTAACACATCACAGGTATGTAATTAATTCATCATTATGTGACAGACAAATGATATTTTGTCTAAAAGAAAATATGGAATTATTTTTAAATATATTCAATATTTATTTTAAATATTAAAAGTAAATAATTTAAGATAAAAAAATCATTCTTTAATAATTAATAAAAGATTTAGAGAGAATTACGTTAATAACAATAATTATATTCACTAATATTATATTCACTAATGTGTTATTAATAATGCAGATATCTATAAAATAATATTTAAATGTTCAGAATGACAGTGAAGCAAACAGATGAAGAAAAGGAAGAAAGACATGAGATGAGAAACAGATCCTGTAGTCCCTTGAGCCAAGATTTCAAGAGCCAAGATTCCGGATTCTCTGATTCTGAAAGATCGGACTGTTCGGAAACTTGCGAAAATGCAACTCCAAGACGGAAATTGAGGAGGAAACGGATAAAACAACGTAGAATCCAGTCAACTTCTTCATGGTTGGAGGAAGAATCTCTCCCAATACCGACTCATACATCCACACCAAAGGATTCTAAAATGTTCACCGTGAGGAATCGTTTCGCAAAATCCGCAAAAAGTCCGATTCGAGGACAAAGGTGAGTTAATTATGTGACAATTTATTTCAATTAAAGAAATTAGAATTTTGATCAATAAGATGACGAAAGTAAATGCAGATATATCCCGCTTTACTCCATTTTTAATATTATCATTTATCGCTCTGCTGAATCAGATAGTAAAAATAATCGAGTCTGATTCAGCACGTATCTATATTTCTTTAAAAAAAACTTACAAAAAACTACATTATTATCGATTTGAGGACTATTGACGTTATTAACATTGAAACTCTTGATATTATGTCGCAATGCCCGGAGCCGGAGGAATGCCCGGGGAATCGTGAATCGTCGCGATAAGATTGGAGAAATGAGCCAATCGGTAGGAATGCGTCGCGTAAGGCAATTTCCGTTAATATCCGTTGTATATAATTCTCTTCGAATAATATAGAATATGCATGCGTAAAACGCACGTGGATCGTATCGCACGGTTTATTATGTCGTAAGCAATGACGCGCGTTCAAGAATCGTGTGACGGACTTCTCTTCTAAGCGTCATAATAACCGAGAGATGCGTCGGTTTCAAGTGGATGATTATCAGTCCTCCTCGGTCTGTAAAGGTGCTTTGGCTTATCGCTATGCCATTGTATGCGTAGCACGCCTTCGTATGCACAGCTATTACGCTCTCTTTTACGGTGTAATGAGAATGAGTTTTCGCTGTTTGAATGATCAACGATTTGAGCTGGCTGATAAATAAATTATGCGCGCATTTGCACACATCCTGGACTCGGACAGAACGATTATTATATTGCGTATTATTGTCCGCTGATTAAAGAGTACCGAGTATGTAGTATGTGTGTGTGTATGTTGTAAAACACGATTGAGTAAATTGGAATCGTATCGGAAATATGTACATATGATACATATATATAAGTATACGTAGAATAGTACAAAAGTAGGATCTTTACGTAACGAGATGCTAATGAAACAAAATAACATAGGACAAATAAAAATACTTTTCTTTTTCTTTTGTACTCTTTGTACTCTTTTTTGATCCTCCTTTTCTTTGTCTCTCAATCAAGCATAAAATTCACTCAAACCAAATATAACGATAAAGCTCTATTTATAGTTTTATGTGTCAATAAAGTCCTATCACAAACTATATATTAAAGCAGTCGTCTCTATCTTGGTACTGTACTGATAAGTTTGTTATAAAATCGGGGTAGCGATCAGCAGATTTTCCCTGTACGGTTTGTGCCTCTCTGTTCGTCACCGTGTACATTCGTGCCGTACGTGAGTCAATGCAACATGCCGCACGAGGAGAATACAAATAAATGAATGAGCGCGAGGTTGGTTCTCGTGTGGCTGACAAGGTTTGAGTCAACCGCGAAGTCGTGCTTTCGGTGCACGACAGCGAATCCACGAAGAATCCAACTCTAAACTCTAAACGTGCACTGACAGCGCGCAGGTGGACGCATTACAATACAACGCAACGTGGGGCCCACGAAGGAGCGCGAGATTAGTCATCGCATGCACGGGGGAAAAAAAGAGTGTTCTCCGCAGCGATTCGATTAGTCAGCTCTTACGTTCCACTAATCGCCTCTGGCGCTTCCGCCCGCCAGAAAAAAAGCGGTTGGTGACGATTCGGAGTATGTCGTACATCGCAATGCGTTTCACATTAACATTAATCGTATCGAGATCTGCTTGGATTCGCTATGGCTCGTTTAAGGTAGTGTAATTTAAAAGTGGCAAGAGGTCATCCCTTGAACAAATAAACTACAATTTCAAAAGATAATATTCAAAAGAATACCTGAATGAATGGAATATCTTGGACATTCCGTGTTGTTTTTAAAAATTAATTTCGTATTTTTATAAACCATTTTCTTGTAAACTTACCAAAATGTTTCTTCGTTCTTTCAGAATTGACAAAGCGCCAAACGATACGTCAAAAGTACTCTCGTCCGTTTCGTTGGAGGAAGAGAATCTGCGCGATTTTCTATACGCATCCGAGCCGCCGGAAGACAGCGTTCAGTCGTCAATAGCGAAATCGCGGGCTTCCACTGACGCTGCGGATGCAATTGCCGCCGGTAGGGACGTGTTGAACTCTAGAAATTATCGTCAAGCGTCCTCCATGAGAGCATGGCTAACCGATCTCGCCGTGGTGACCGAGAACGAGTGTAGCAATACGCTTCAAAGCAAGAATTTGCCGCGCAAAGGAGTCCGAGTGATATCCGGCGAAATTCATGCGCGGGATTTGAAGATGATGTCTTCTGCAGCCACCGCGGCCGCGAGTAAGCTTTTAGTCAACGCGGATCACTTCGAGCAACATTATCGGAATATCGTCGAGTAAGTTCTTCCGTCTTTCTTCCAATCCGTCGAAGAATATTTTTTATATTATTATGACGCGTAAATATTTTGTATTATTTCGAATTCGTTGTTTTTAATCACAATTAGAGATAGATATTCTTAATTAACGTTATGAAATCCACGATTAACTGCAAGATAAGAAATTACAAAATAAAAATTAATAACTAAAAATAATAAGAATTTTAAATGATGTATAATTAATTTACCAATTAACTGTCATTGCGCAGAAGAATAACGAGATTGGAAGGTGGCAGATCTGAAATGGAACTTCTTCGTAGTATAGAAGAAGCAGCATTTTCTATCCTTTCTGAATTAGGAGCACCTCCTCCTCGTAGGATACAGCAAGGTAGTCTTAGGAGTATCCTCGCGCAGTTACAAAATATGAAGATATATGTTGATAAAACACTTGACACTCGCTTAGATTTTTACATTGAGGTTGGTCATATTATTTTTTGTGGTTTATATTAAGAAAGTAATCATAAATAGAAAGTAATCATAAATTAACGATACTAAATCTCTTTTCAGAAAATAATCCGAGCTCTCGAGGAAGCTCCATGGGAGGATAGCAGCGTAGCTAGAGGTACTTTGGCAGCCCTGACAGCTTTAGGATTGTCGGATGCTCGTGCGGGAAGCAGCATAGCTCGATGTTCTGGCATAAAAGCTCTCTTGACATGTCTTGTCTCTACCAATCGAACACCAAATGATTTTGTTGCAATATCATTACGTGCTCTGGCCAGTGTGTGCTCTTCCACGTCAGCGATCGAATACTTTGCTCGAGATGGTGGTCCCGAGATCCTAACAGATCTTTTGGGCGCAGAATCCTCTTCCGAGAAGGAAAAGACCGAAGCCACTGCTTTGGTGGTGCAAATCACGGCACCATGGACTATGGCACGGGGTTTACCATATCTCGAACCTTTTGCGGATTTATTGATTCCGGCATTGAATCAATTGGTTGAAAACACCAGTTGTGCACAGACCTTGTTGCTAGCTGCTGCAGCACTGAATCAGTTATCCAAATCGAGAATATGCGCCACGATTATAATGGAAGAAGATAGTGTGAGAAAACTTTTAAAAAGCGTGAAAAAATCTGCTGGCGGTAATATCTGGTTGATGGAGCAGGTGGCCGCATTGATTGGTGAATTGGCGCGTATTCCTGAAGGCCGATCACATTTGGCAAAGGCACGAGCCTCCGTGGCATTAGTCTCCTTTCTTCGAATGAGGCCACCAGGTCTGGAAAACGCGTATGAACGGTTGGAAACCACTGCAGCAGCCGCACTAACCAGACTCTGTGTGGAGCCGGAGATTGCAAGACAAGTAGTTGCAATCGGTGGCGGAGATTGTCTACCGGGACTATACAAAGTAAATGAGGTCCAAATAGACCAAGAGGATGAGGAAGCACAAGTGGATACGGGTCTGTTAAGATATACTAGATCATTAAGACGCGCATGCAAGAAGGCCGCAAGACAAATCGGGATCGCAAAAGCCAAGGACCACAGCACATTGGATTGAGGGGATTCTGGAAAAGGAAAAATCAATTGTGATAGTTCATACAATATCGAATAATTGAAAAATTATTAAAGCGTAAAGACTGTAAATACATTTTATAACCACAAATTATAATCACAATATTTCATATTGTAAAAGTAATACAAAAAACAAATATTTTTGTTAAAAATATATTATATATTATATAATTAACTCTTCTTGTATCATATCTCGTAAAAATATGAATGCGCACTATAAAAATATGAATATGTTTTTACTATTATATACTAAAAAAATGTGCCATAATACACGTAATACATTTATAAAAAGAAGTGTAAAATCATTAGTTTATTATTACTTATATATGTTATGTTCTATCTAGTTCCACTCTGAAGTTGATTCTTATGAAAAATATCTATAGTAGTCTCCAAGCATGGTCTTAATTCCAAATCACATGTGCCAAGAACAAATTTGCCCTCTGGTGCCTTAAAATAATCTAATCCACGTCCAATTTTTATCACCCATCCGTTACTCAATCTAAAATAAAAAAAATAAATAAAAAATAAAAAAATAAAAAATTTTTTAAATTGACATTAACATGAAAATTATATGTATATATCATCAATCCTACGTGATCTGTCTGTCATGTAATGTTTCAGAAAAAGAAAAATCAAAGGAAATGTTGTGGGAAGCCAAACTTTCTTTCAATTCAGCCAATCTTGAAATTTGGTTAGATTCATTTTCATCGTAGGTTGTAAGCAGAGATATCTTGGAAAGTGCACTGCACTTTTGAACTGCTAATTCGCATAGTCTGACCAAATTCTGACACTGCAAAACAAAATATAGAAATCAATATAATAAAACTTTAAATTTAGATATTATATAAATATTAATTTAGGTGTTATATAAACAATAGCATACTTGATGATAAGCTCGTATATAAGGATCTTCAATGTTGATATAGGTGACAGTACCATCAAAAAATCTGCCAAAGATACTCGCATAGCCATGTCCTATAGATCCACTCTCAATCTTGATCAATTCTCTATATATGCCGGCTGATTTCCTTGTACTGATCAATTTCTTTATCTTCTCGGCTCTGTCAAGATACTCTTTCGCCTTGGATGTGAGATAATCCACTTTGAAGGTTTCCTTCGTTTCTGCATCGTTTTATTATCGAATCTTGAACTTCTTGACGAAAGATAATAACAATAAAACTAATATAGCAATGAAAGAAAGAAGAAAAAAGCAATCATACGATATCCGATATATTGGTATACCTTTTACCGCGTCGAGAAGTATTTGCACACCTTCCTGGTACAATACCAACGCCATTGTATACTGTTCTTTCATGTCCATTTCCACAGCTCGCTTCAGAACCGAGACCGCAGCAGATTCCATCGTGCTCAGTGTTTCGCAGCGCGCGATAACACAACTCGCGGTTATTCGCGCACTCTAGATTTTCGAGTTGTTGTCACACATGTGACGCAGTTGTACCTGTATCAACCTGCATCATTAAGTAAACATCCTTTGTTCTTCTAATTACATCTAATCTAAATTTTATCTAAGCACGCACGATACCAAGATAAACATACACGCGTCCCACATAACTTGTGCCCCACAGGATGACAAACCCAATGCAGCCAATGTGCAAGTTGCCAGGGGATCGATCATGTAACTTTTCCCCTAGGCGGAAACATGAAAAGTTCCACGTGATCTTATGATTATGTACGATTTTGCGGGATCATATAACTCTTTCAAACGTGAAAATGTAAAATTTTTCACGTGAACTTTTTCGCCATGTACCTTGGTGGCGGAAAGGCAGAAATCTAAGGAATTAATAAATATTCGGAATTAGAGAAGATTAGGGCTGCGTTAGGATTAAGTGTACTAAGTGTATTAAGTGTAATACATATATAATTGGTTATTAAAAGATGTATATAATACTGTACCAATAAAATAATTTTCATTAGCAATAAAACCTATGAAACTATGTTTCATGATTTCACTTTTCACGCATCCAAGCTACATACATAATCGCTAT